CTTGTGTCGCTTGCTGGAAAGCACGGACGTATATAAACATATGCATAAGGAAATAGCCCAGTAAGAAATGATTCGGCGATCGACGTCGAAACGACGTCAAATCGACATCGACACCGTCGAATTGACGTCGATTCGACATCATTTCGACGTCGATCGACGAATCATTTCTTATGGGCTATTTCCTTATGCATATGTTTATACGTGTTATACAAATTTGTGTTTTTACCTTTTGCAGTCAACAACTTTAATGAATTTGTCTCGCAACCACTCGCAACCTCGCGTCTGTAAATTCTGTTTGTAAGATCTAACGTCCGTAGCAAGATCTAACAACCCAGCAAACACCAAAGTAACAGTTACATAACATCAATATAAATGTAATATAACACATGCCTGTTATATTACATTTGCATTGATGTTATGTAATTGTTACTTTGGTGTTTGCTGGGAAGTCCGTGATCTAACCTAATCAGAAAATTTTTGGGTTTGTACGTTGGGGTTGGTACGATTGGAAACCAACCAGAGTGTACACTTTTACACTTTATACTACTTCCTCGGATAAGCTGCAAGTAGGATTAGTTTAGGTATAGAAGGGAGTATCGGATGAGCCACAAGTAGGATCATCCCTAGGTGTAGAATGGGCATGACCCGCGTCGCGCGACCAACGAATGGTGTGGTAAGTGCAGCGAGCGTCATTACCGACGTGACCGTCGTCGGGGCAGAAATGGCGTAACTCCGATCGCCTCGTCTGGCGTCGGGCGAGCCTGGTTGACTGTCAATCATTGGCATATGCCGCGCGTCATGTCGGCACCTGATAAGAGGTTAGGCGCGTTCATGGCATCGTTGATTTTTCCAAGTTTCTGAACGAGAACGCGGTGGAGAAAGAAAAAGAGGACGCGCTGCCGCGCACTGAAAGTAACGAAAAGTAGAACGGCCGAAAGAGGAAGGATAAACTGAGAATGCGATTTTTCTCGCCGATCCTGAACGTAGCCGCGTAAATAACGAACGAGTTGAACGCCGAGGTGGGTCTCTTCTCGCGAGAGTCGCGAGTAACGCGAATCCCTCCGCCCGCTCGTCGCTCCTCGGCTCCGCTCACTCCGCTGCTCGGTGATGTGACTTCCGCGGGGCGAAACGGGACGACTCCCTGGACATGTGCTCCCGCTCGCGATGTGAACGAGAATGCACATGATGCTACAGGCTCGTTGGGAACGCTCTCAGAAACGCAAGAAGCTCTTGGCCCAGACGGTGAGCGTCCGAGTATATCCCGGGAAAGAAGTGCTCTGGCCACCGTGGCCGGTGAAGCCTAAGCGCTGGTCTACAATACGTGGAGCAAGCGTGGAGTAAGGAGTAAGGGAGAGCCCTAACTTGTAGCTTTTGGTGTAAGGAAGCTGAAATACGGGCATAATTTTTAAAATATTTGTAACACTGATGGCATTTTGATTCACCGAGAGTAAGCCTAAGAGCTGAAGTAGGAGTAAGAAATGAAATGGATTTATTTCCTTACTCCTACTCCTTACTCCAGCTTACTCCATGTATTGTAGACCAGCCTTAAAGCGTCGCGCTGCAATACGTGGAGTAAGCTTGGAGTAAGAGGGAAACCATAACTTTCAGCTTTTGCTGTGAGGAAGCGTAGGTTTTCTTTTTTAAATATTTGTAACACTGGCCGATGGCGTTCTGATTCACCGAGAGTAAGCGTAAGAAAATAAAACTGATTTACTTCCTTACTCGTACTCGTTGCTCCAGGCTTACCTCCATGCATTGTGGACGACGCGCAAGATGAGCGCCCCAGTATCTTGATGCATTTGTCCTTTCGCAGCTGGGAGTTTCGAGCGTGGACGAACTGCGACAGATTCTGGGGACGGACGTGGAGGACACGCAGAAGAAGAGAGGCAGGCTGTCCAATGACAAGTCCGACGGCGCGGTCAAAGATTTGAAGGACGACGTCGCTCCGGCGGACGAGATTGTATATAAGGATTCCTCGACGTTCTTGAAGGTACTTGCCGACACGCTCCGCACTTCCGTGCCGAGGTATTGTTTACGTGAGATACGTTGCGTATGTACAGGGAACGCAATCGTCGAATCCGCACAATGACTACTGTCAACACTTCATCGACACCGGCCAACGGCCGCAGAATTTTATCAGAGACGTGGGTCTGGCGGACAGATTTGAGGAGTACCCAAAGCTGCGCGAGCTGATCAAGCTGAAGGACGATCTGATCGCGGAGACCGCGACCCCGCCAATGTATCTAAAAACAGACCTGCTGTCGTATAACCTGAAAGAGCTCAATTGTAAATTTGATGTCATTCTTATAGAGCCACCGTTAGAAGAGTATCAAAGAACGTGCGGCGCAACCAATGTGCAACTTTGGAATTGGGACCAAGTTAGTCTTGGCTTGGTTACGCCACAGTCTAGATTAAATCACTTCCAATATTTATGTTAACGTTACCTCTTTAAGGGGAAAAAAAATTTAAGATGTACCCTTGAAGAGCTCGTATTCAATATTCTTTCGACATTGTCATGGCGACAAATAGATAATAACGATTAATAATAACTTTGATTTGCGGCACTAATTTTTGTTAAACGGATTATAGAGGCTAGAAATTTCTTATCTCAATGTCGAATTACTTGTAACTTTTACTTTTGCCACCGTTCACTTCCAAATAAATCCAACGGTAGTTATTGCAATTAATTCTCGTGTATCCGTGTAGATAATGGAGTTGGATATCGGCGAGGTGGCCGCCAATCGCAGCTTCGTGTTTTTATGGTGCGGTAGCAGCGACGGATTGGACATGGGACGATTTTGTCTGCGCAAATGGGGTTTCCGTCGTTGCGAGGATATCTGTTGGATCCGCACGAATATAAATAATCCGGGCCACAGCAAGAACCTGGACAGTAAAGCGGTGCTGCAGAGAACGAAGGAGCACTGTCTAATGGGTATCAAGGGAACGGTGCGACGCTCCACTGACGGGGATTTTATTCATGCCAACGTCGACATCGATCTCATCATATCGGAGGAGCCCGACTACGGGTCCATCGAGAAACCCGTGGAGATTTTTCACATCATCGAGCACTTCTGCCTCGGCAGAAGAAGGTGCGAAAATACACACATACAAAGCCGTCCTTCAGCTTTTTTTTAAATACGCAAATTACATTGTGTAATTTTGCAGATATTAACAAATAGAATTACGCGTGTTGAACCTTCTTTATTGATATTTTTATTAAGAATACATATGATAGATAAGAATAAATATAACTTACGTTATTGTACACTAAAAAGTAATTTGCTATAAGCAAATACGTGGAGTAGTTTTCTTTAGAAGGATTTAAATACTTAATGTTGTTATTGTAACAAATTAAATATAGCCAGTTATGTCGAAACAATGGATTGATTATTGATTTAATTACTGGTGAACAAAAACATTACCAACAACATTTAAATACTTAAAGTTAGGAGACAACTTTTTGCATCCTTTTTCTAGGCTTTTTTTTTCTTGGAAAATATCACATTTAATTATTCCGCTTTCTCATTCAGGTTGCATCTCTTTGGACGTGATAGCACCATTAGACCTGGCTGGCTCACCGTCGGTCCGGAGCTAACGAACACTAATTTCAATGCGGACCTCTACCAGAGTTACTTCGCCAATGGTCAGATCACTACCGGCTGTACCGAAAGGATAGAAGCGCTCAGACCGAAGTCGCCGCCACCAAAGGGAAAAGTGTCCGGCCGAGGAAGAGGAGGCTTCAATCGTGGCAGAGGCAGAGGGAGATAAATAAATCAGACTTCTGCATTGTATGTCTTTCGAATTATTACAATAGATACGAGAAATCTGAAAATATAAACACATAAACAATTACGGAGGCATGCAACGTGTTCGTTCCCTTCTTGCTCCGCGGAATATTTCAGTCTCTAATAACATTCTCCCATAAATTCGAGAGCAATCTACTTACCACGATAAACTCGATGAAATAATTATATTGAGCTTGCTTATTGACAATATCAATTGTAGTTGATTTTTCTTTAAACAGAATAAAATTTTTATAACGTATTTAAAGTCCATACACGCAACTTTCTGTGTTTATATTTTAAACACTTGACTCGTCAGAAAAATTGTAAATTTTAATTTTGCATTAAAAAAATAATCTAAAATTGCACAACTGAAATAAAATCAAGATGTTTCTATCATGATTCGTACACACAGGTCCCTGATGTTATACGAGGAGGGGGGGGGGGTAAAAATAATGATAAAAAAAGCGTGTTGTTTTAATATCAAACTTATTGTTATTGCAAGGTACATTGTAAAAAACGCAATTTGTCATTTGAACGCATTATTACATATTATAACTTAACTATCTGCGGATAGTATATAGTATTGCCTCTATCTTTAAATCATTAACGATAAGTCGGACTGCCAGAGTCCGCAGCTTAAAGGGGGAGGGGTTTTGTTAAAATAAGACGCTAAAAAGATCGTGTAAAGTTGAAATTTGACGAATTGCCAACTAGACCGTATCTAACTGCGTTATAAATCGCACTAGGAACAAACGAATATACATATATATTTGTATATAAAAATAAAACATATATTTCGTTGTTGCGGAAGCGAAAAATTGTGATCGGGTCTTTCAAGTAGGATAAATTAATGAATTAAATAATAACGAACGATTCGTTCTCGAGAGAATAAAGGAAGGCGCGCGCTCCTCGTCAGTCGTTCAGAATATCACCGAGTTACGCGTTACAAAAGTAGAAAAGTTTTAGACAAAGAAACGAATACTATTATTCGTAATTATTATGGCATGCTTTCGAGGGCTGTCCTCTCGCGTTTCCTGTTTTGTCTGTTTAAAATTCTCCTGTCGTAGTTCGGATAAAATTAATGCTTTCCGCATAAAGCTTAATATTGGATACGATTTATCCCAAAAAAATACGAATCATGCTATGGCCACAGATGACGGAAATTTCCAGACGTCACTGTCGCGTACATTCGACGACAAAATTAATGCGATTGACAGATAGATCGATGTGCGATAAATTTAGAAGCTTCTAATCTCTTTATTCGTTTAACGTAAAACCTGTCCTTTGTTAACATGACTCCTTAAACGTACACTCTCAATGATAGCCGTTCAAAAATCAACGCCGCGCTCGTCCAGAAAGGCAGAGAAAGGTAATTAATTTTCTATTTAAATCTGAGATCAAGTCACGTATTTTGTACTCTATAGGCTGAGTCGAGTAATTAATTTATAATATATACCATAAATATATAGAGCTCTTAAAATTAAGATCGCCGTCAGCAAAGAAGAAAGAAATACGCAAACTTACAAGGTAGTTTTATTGGTCCCAGTAAAGCTTCCGGTAAGTGAAAAGTGAAATCTATCTGAGGAGGCAAAGTTCCGCAAAATCCATTCAAATGCATTTTTCGCGCGGACGCATGTATAGCGATGAATATGCGTATACTTTATTTTGTAATTTTTTTTTCTTGTAAAGAGCGGACTCTATTGATGACGTTACAAAGATCGTATCTGCGTGCCGGGGTCACGATGTACTCGTATATGTTAGCGATGAAACTTAAGCTCCTATTGCGGAATACATGCGAGATATCGATTTACTCTATTACAACAGAAAAGATATCGGGATTTTTTTCTTTTTCTTTCCATTTTTCTATTTTTTTTGTTTCGGTTTAATTAGATACTAAACGCGCAGAAGTAAATCAAACGACGTTTATTGCTATACTTATCGATCTAATGTAAAAATCGTCTACTCGTAATTTCAGCTATAATGGATCTTACGTACCTATTCTCTCGTAACGCGTTCTTAAACGCAACGCTATACATATCTCTAACTTTCTCGTCGTTTCCTGCTAAACGATGGCATAATATAAAAGATCGGAATAGAGTATTAAAAACCCTGGTACAACATGATCATAAATAAAATACATAAACGATCCAATCAATAATAATAATATTAATAATAGATAACAAAGTCTATTTTTTTTTTCTTAGAAACGATTGTATTTCGATGCTGAACACCAATTGCATACGTCAACAATCAGTCACCATGTTTCCTTCCCTCATTTTCTCATCATTTTAACGAATTAAATTAAGAATAGATGACCACACTATACACAATTAATTGTAGCGTGCACGTTTATCGAACAATTCCATATTAATAACTGATATCCTGCTTCACGTCGGCATGATAAAAAAAAAAGGAGAACAAAGGTATTGTACAAATTAAACCGACGAATCTCGTCGGGAACGAAAAACAAGATACATGCGAACTTAAAGTAATAATAATATCAGCGCGCGAATACACAATGTTGCGGCAAATCGGATATCAACGTTCTCGAAATGAATCGTCCATCACGTCGAAGAGCCACCAGAAAAGAAACGCTTGCGTATACGTATATAATATAGAATAAAACACGTCGGGGAAAGATAATAAATAGTCATTCGCCCAAGATACGAATATCGTTACTGCTCTCTCTTCGGAGAATGAATAAATAAATAAGGGGGGGGGGGGAAGAGAAACTCGATTTAACATCTCATTTATGCGCGTTACACGCGACAGCGCGTATTTTAGAGCTTCGTACTCGAGTATTTGGGAAGTACTTCACATACCCGGGCTCTCACTCGACTTGCACGCGAAATCGATCCATTTTCAACACAACGAAACACGTTCGACGCGCGAGACCGAAACGAAAATGTCTGCCGAATATTAATTCTTTATAAAAATTTCATTAGCTAGCACTGAGCCGGACAGCTTTTGCACAGAAGAAACCAAGCGCCTCTCCGTGTAGCAAAAATCCGAAACGCGCTCTTAAAGAGCCCCTTGCTTCAAAATTCTTTCCGCAATCTTTATCTTATTACTTTGTCTAAATTTTTTTCACGATTAAAAAAACTTTTCAAGAAGATTGCTATATAATTTTCGTAAAAGCGTCACTATCTGCTCGGCGCAGCCAAGACGGGAATTAGTCTACTTAACAAGCAGCGAGCTGGGCCTTGAGGGTCGACTTCGGTCCGAACAACACCCTGTCGCGACTTGGACGATACATTAATTCATAAATACATTTGCGTTTATACAAAATCATTTATTCGCTATCTAATAGATCGTCGCGATTCATATATAAATACATATATCCGAGACAGAGGGATTCTCTCGGCGACAATCGGGATTAAAAGAAAAACTGGCGCTTTATTTCTTTCATATAAAAGCCGTGTGCTGATCACGCGCGCGATGCGACACACGACAGTAACGTTAAATTAATTAACTCTAAATGATAACGTAATAACTCTTTTCTTTCGTGAAGCATCAGCGTGTGTGTACCAAGAAGAGTTTATTTTTTTTGTGGGGCGTGGGATGGCGGGCAGGGGGTGTGTATGCATGCGTGGTGTGGCAGGCACGGGATGGCGATGGTGGTCGTTTCATCTATTCGCACACACAATCGATTCGGTAATCAAGCGGTGCGGAGGTTTTCAGCGGTCAGAGGTTGATCGTCACAGGGTTTAGCCACGATCGGCCCCGCCATCATCATCAGTCAAGTCTCAACAGTCACAAATATGTCGATTCCCCTGCAAGCAGACCTATCGTCAGTCGTGGAGAAAGGCGCGATGTCGCGACGAGATATCGCAAGTTTCTGGGGCAAACCAACAGCTACAGGTGGGACACTTGGGCAGGGAGGTGGGACTGTGCGAAAAAAAATGCCGTTTATGAAGAAGCGAGGATAAGCGAAAAAACAAGAGAGAGAAAGAGAGAGAGAGAGAGAGAGAAAACAAATAGATCTTTTTACACGTACATTTATGTTCAGGGAGATGTAAAAAGAATATGAAGCTCACATTATTCTTCCGTTCCTCAGATCTCAACGCATTTTTCCAAACTCCCCCTTCCTCACGTTTACTTTCGCTTAAGGGATATTTAAATTGCAATGCGGTCCTGTCTAGACGAGAATACTCGTTTTGATTTCGACACGTAAAAATAGCCGAGGGTCAGAACTACCCCGTGGATAGCGAAGAGAGCAAAATGCGTCGAGTTCGAGGGAGATGACGCAAAAGAAAGTAAATTTCATTGCGCTGCGTTTTGATTTGCACGAGATATCGGCTCTCCGATGAAATTTCTTTGCTCTTGAACTTACCCTGGCGAACGCAACGAATCTGATTGCGAGGAGAAAATGTAACAAGAGAGATCACGCATACGTCGCTCACTCTTAGATTCGCAAGTTCGAGAGACACGCTCTAGAAGTCGATTATATAATTATTTTATTTCGCAATAATGATAAGAGATTGAATCATATGCCTTTATTACATTCATTGCAGAGTTTGATCCGACAGCTAATGGACATCAGCGTCAATGCTTGCGGTCGCAATGGGGTTGTTAAGGCAGGAATATTAATACAAGTTATATCGAACATGTTTTTTCTTTCTCGGACAAAGGACAGGCTTATACAGACGCACAGACAGACATATCCGTAAACATGATAAAATATAAACTCTAGAGTTTTGTGCGCGCTTTAATCTCTTTATAAATTCTGGAAATGATCAACGGTATAAATTTGCAGTTTTCGTTTACAAGTACTCTCTCGTAATGTATTGTACAATATCTACTTGTCGGAGAAAGTAAAGTCGTAGGAGAGATGCGGCTCGTTCGAAAGAACACGAACAGGGATATTCTTACACAAACTGCATCGTGTAACATTTATTTGTCAGTAACTAACGTATATATATATATATATATATGTATATATTCACAATTTTTATGACAAAATTTTACTCTCGTCGACACCGACTGGTGCGATATAAAAAATCGGCGAAGTAAACGTACTTTATTATCGGATCGCTCCGCGCGCTCTAAATCGATCTCTAATCCATATTTTGGTTCTAAATGATAAGTGACGGGTAATTCACGCGTAATCGTTAATTAATGTTCGTATATAATATAATATGAGATCCTATATATTTATACGCATCGAGAGGTACGGCTTACATACCTGCATCCAATTTAACAATAAGGAGAAAGTACAAAAATACGTTTATCGCGTAGTTGTGAAACGACCGAGTGTCAAGTAGACGCGTTCGTGTAACAAAATGTACGAGAAAGAGTTTCGTCCGTCGTGTTTGTCAATCTTTGTACGAGGCAATCCAGAAAAATTGGACATTAGAAAAGAGAACTTTGTACTCGCGAAACAGAGCGCAACTCTCAAATGTGGATGAAGAAAAGACTGCGTCTCAACAAAAATTAATGGCAAATAATATTAAATGAATACTCGAAAATTCTTAATGCAACATTAACGTATTTTATTTTGTAAATTATGTGCCACCGCATATAGATTAGTTTGAACCAAATATTTAAGTCGATAGCAAGATCTGTTAGTTAACAAGATATGAAATTTTTGTATTACGCAATTCTTCGTAGAATGCGGTTATTCACGTTGCAAACGGCAATGAGAAATCTCTGATTAGGGGAGAAAAAATGTCATCTTTTTTTTTCTGAACTGCCTTTTAAGGTAGATCATGCATCGATAATGATAACTTTATGACAATCACCACAAATTCCACGCGCAACAGTAGAAACGACAGAAAACGATCGTTGATACGCGGCCGCGTATAAAATTCATATGCCATTTTGGATAAAATCGTTCGCCTTAAAATTGTTCGTCAGTGCTAAAAATAAGCTTCTCGCGCCGCTTTTATCGCGATAGTCGCAGCTGACACGTGTATACTGATCAGCGATAGGGAAAACCCGGTTCGAGAATTTTCCCGCGAGTACCGTGTCCGCTCTTTAGACTCACTTAAACGCAACAATCACTGGTACGCAGGCATACAGCAAAGTAATCGGTACGTCCATTTCTCTTTGTTCTTCCTCACACGCACTTTTGTACAACGAATTTGTTTGTCATGTCGAAAGAACGGCTTCGTTGATTCTCTCCTCGTCGGCTTCGCTATCGACGGCACAAACGGGATGTCCCAATTCTCATTCACTCACTCCTCGTGTTTCGCACGAAGGTGAATCCTCTCCGAATCCAAATGTGTCTCGTTTTTCGATTAATAATTGATACATCAACTGATCCCCTAGAAACTATACATCTAGGTACTTCCATTCGCCGATACCGAAAGAACATGTCGAGGACAAGAGCGAGTGCTTTCGAGAAAGCAAAAAGTCTTTGCGAAATTCTTTCGTCTGAACTATATCAATGAGTATCAGTTTAATGAAATGAACGAGGGAGAAACCCCGACAGTTTCCGGAATTATTTAAAGAAAAATTTTTAGTGTACTCACTGTCTGAAACTTTAATCCCTTTCAAAGTACTCGCCCACGTCACTTAATGCAACAATTCCAGTGTCTCTCCTACTTCAGGAAATACTGTCTACGTTCTTCTTCCGAATGCTATTAAGAGCTGCCAGCGTTGAACCTTTTTGGCTAAAAATAAAATGGTAACCCGCTCTACTCACCCAACCTCGTCCCTTGTGACCTTTTTAAATGAAGCGGCAACTCAAAGGGAGGCGTTTTGCTGATATTGACGAGGTTCAACTCGGATCGCTGACAGCATTTCGGAAGAAGAAATTAGACAGTATTTCCTAAAATGGGAAAGGCGCTGGGATTGTTGCATTAGTCCTATGGGGAGTATTTCGAAGGAGATTAAAGTTTCAGGCCCGTGTGCAAGTACACTTAAAATATTTAAAACAAAAATAACTTCGGAAACACTTGGGAGTGAATCTCCTCGTGGATTCACTTTAAGTGGGATTATAGGCGTTTATGAAGAAATGAAAGAAAACATTAGTACTCGCGACAATAATATTAGGTGGTAAACTTAGTTTCCGCGGCTCACATTTAGATTACGCTAGTTGTAAGTGTAATTTGACATCTGAAACTGGCTGCATTTTAAAGGTTAGACATTTGTAAATAAAATTCAGTGCGAAAAGATTCATTTAAGCGAACAGTGCCGTTTTTTTTTATTTTGATTAAACATGGAACATGATAAGTGGTTTTTTCGACATGTGCTGCTTCATTACTTTGATTTGAAAAAAAAAAAAATACAGCTACAGCTCATAAATTACTTGTCGAAGCTTATGTCAAGTGTGCTCCATCGGAAAGAACATGCCAAGAATGGTTTCAGCGATTTAAAAGTGGTGATTTTAATGTGAATGATAAATAACGCTCAGCCGAAAAAGTTTGAAGGCACCGAACAGCAAGCATTATTGGACGAAAACTCAGCTGAAACGCTCCAAGAATTGTCTGCTGCGTTAAATGTTACTCCGATGGCCGTTTCCAAACGTCTACATGCAATGGGAAAGATTCAAACGGAAAGGAAGTTATTCTTTTGCACGACAAGGCTCGACCACACGTTGCAAAAGCCGTCAAGGAAACACTGATGCAGCTCGAGTGGGAAGTTTTCCCGCACCGAGCGTATTCACCAGACTTGGCTCCTTCAGATTATCACTTGTTCCGATCGATGCAGCACGGCTTGGTGGATACGCACTTCAAAAATTACGAGGATGTACGAAAATGGATCGATGAATGCATTGCATCAAAAGACCAATCGCTCTATCATTGCGGAATCCACTCATTGCCAGAAAGATGGGAAAAAATGTATAGCTAGCGAGGGCAAATACTTTGATTGATGTGCTTTTAATATCGAAATAAATGAGCTTGTTAAACAAACAACACCGCGGAAACTAAGTTTACCACCTAATATTTTGCGTTTCAATTTTCCCTCCGAAGAGACAGGTCACGCGAAAATTCTGCCCCGGACATTTCTTCGTATCTTCAAATTCAAGGTACGCGTGTATTACGTTTCTGACGGACCACCTTGTTACAATCGTAACTCGGCTAAATCGCAGCTTTTGATTTACAGTTTTGTTTTACTCTACGTGTAGGAACATTGGTATCATCGTTTTACGGAAGTGGCTGCTTCAAGGAAAAGCCCTAAAATCGTCAAAGTTAATTAGCAAAGAGCCAGGTCAGTGGAAGCTTGCTGATATTCGTCAGACATTCGTACGTGTGGCTACGCGGTTATTAACCCCTTGAAAAGCTATTATAAATCTGTATAAATCTATTAATTTCGTTGATTTATATATTGATCGATTGACACTAACACAAAATGAACATTGCTCGGAGGTAAAAGGATGAATACAGAATTTTTGAGATACATCACTTCCAAGCTGCGCAACAACACTGGCCGTCCCAGTTTTGAGGTATCGTCATTTGACGTAACAAAAATTCTGCAAACACTCGATCAATCGTCACAAATTGAACGGAATATCAAGAACGAAAATTAGGTCCCGTTATCTCCACTGTACATCACATTTTTATCCCTTCAATCCACATGTGTGCAAAAGAGGAGCACGAAATGTCTCTTACGCGACAAAACTTCCACTAAATTACCGCTTAAACAACATCTTCCCTGACGATGGTCGTAACGAGGTCCGTCTGTACGTTTTATTAATCGAAAAAGTCAACCTTTGCCGAGCGTTTGCCGATTGCGTTCGCCTGCGAACGGCGTGTCTTTCAGAGATTACGCAACGACTCGCGGCTTCCAAATGTGTATCACGAAGCTGGACAGATGTGTGTGGGTGTGTACATATATATATTATATATAAATGAGAGATGCCAGATATATACTTCACACACATACGCGTACACGCACACGCACACACTCACTCACTCACTCACTCACTGACACACACATACGTACAATTCTCAGAAGAAGTTTAGTAAAGTCAGCATTCATAAAGAGGTGCAGTGACATTTTTTTCTGAGACATGGCAGGTGGTTTCGCAGTGTGTGTTTCATAGTGTTGGAACGTAGTCCTAACTACACGCGCGTTACTATTAGTGCTCTATCGATGCAACGCAAGACAATGCAACGGACCAAGGACAACGCACCGGGAAGAAATTCAGTATGTCAAGTCGGCGTAAGCTCTGCGTATAAACTTGTTATACACGCGAGGACATCCGCGGAGGATCCACGGGAGGAAATCCTTGCACATATCTACATACTTGTTCCTCGCACTTCGTATGCTGAAATAGCGCTGAATATCAAGTGGAAATAATATTTGAAGGAAAACAAATATATTTTTCTTTCTTTTTGTACACTTTTGCGCACGATGGATCCGTGCTGTAAATTTACGTCGAAAAGATATCGCACACGAGATGAAGAAGTTCAGGATCGATCATCTTAAGTTATCAAGCAAAATAATGTGCCTTTCTGTAAAATTATTTCGCGAAAGAGGCGCACGGGAGATCTCAAAACGATTTCTCCCAGCCACAAATTTCTTAGCAAATATTTTCACTGTATAGTTTAGAATAAATTAAAAAAATATCGTAATTATTACTATCAAAATAAAAAAGAAATCGCGACGAATTAATTCTCGAGAGAAGAATGCACGATATAAAACCATATTTGAGTTTAAAGGAACATCATTTTACCTTCCCTTAAAAATTACAGTCGCGCGAGAAATGCAATGAAAAACATCTGATACAAATGTGTGCTGAATAAAGATCGAATTCGCTGGAGCAATTTCGAGTAGAGCGCGACGAGTCTGGATGTTAAATCAAAATCAAAGAGGATTCTCGATCTCTTGAAACGCGCGTTACCAGTCAATATTGAGCTCTATCAGCACAGCAAATCCCCTGCGAATCTTGCCCGATCGTTGCAAGCGTACGAAAACGAATCACGAGAGACTCGCAAGGAGATACACGGTGAGAGTCGGTTCTTTCAGCGAAGAAATCACGACGGCGGTTGCGTTCCACACAATATTCTCTCTAGACGTTATTATTATTGACTTACGATATTTTTATTCTTATGAAAATATTCGTTTTTTTACAGCATTATTTTCTCATTTTCTTTTCTTCCATCTCAGTCCATATATGTATAGTTCATATAAACATGCACTTCCGCTACGCCATACATGTATATATAGCCCGTTCATTTGTTTTCGACCGCATTTTCTCTATCTAACGGACACAATGTTTCTACATGTGTTGTCGTTTTGAAATTTGACTCTATACTTGTCCTTTACGTTCTTTGTCTCTTCAACTTAAGGAAAACCACTTATTAATCACAGGTTTCGCAAGCGGAAAAAGTGAGGGTTAAATTATTAAGTATGTATATTGTTAATACGTTGAGCCTGGAAGTTCTCTCTATTCCCATACTTTGCCTCGTTCGGCACAAGGTGGAACAGCCACATGAAGTGTTCCTCGAATATTCGAATGCTTAGGGAAGTCCATAGTAATCTTTTCTTATATCGCACTTTCCGATGAAAGTAGCATTTACAAACACGTGTCCGTCACGAATTTAGTATTCAAGAATTTACAAGCTCACTTGTGACAAATGTAAGAGCCCGCGTGTTCAGCGTTAGAAGCTCTATTTAGACAAGTTTCGCCAATTCCCTAAGCTTAAGCGTACATAGACAATTTTCGGCACACTTCGTCGCGTCTGCTGCGTCAGTAGGAATTTCTAAGCGGATCAGAGAATGAAATAATAAGAAAAGTAATTAAATATTTATCCATAGAGCTAATTGTATCGAAATAGTCGAAGCTAATTAATTACAATTAATCGACAATTCACTAAAAATCTGCGTACAAAGTACGCTGACAAGTATAAAAAATACTTTGCTATTCTTTCACGAGACATTTCGTAATTTTATTTCCTAATAAATTCGGAATAAACGGTATTGCTCGATTATGACAAAAATTGTCTATGTGTCTAATCGCCGTGTGAAAAAACGTGCCATGCAGAATGAAGTGAGCTCAAGTTGTTCACAAATGGTGTCGCTTACAGAAAACAAAAGAAGAAAGAGCCCAAGTAAAATGTGCTTAATACAAACAGTACATTGTTAGTTAACTCTGTGAATACGTTAATTTTGATTAGGTTCTTACGGATAATAAATACTTTCATTCCAATCACTCGGACTTCCTCTCGCGCTTTCTTTCTCGCTCATTTTCTCTCCCATTCTCGCGCTCTCTCTCATATCCCGCATCCACTCTCTCCCATAACAGTAGTCACTCGCAAACCTAATCTCTACGCTTCTCTGTCGCGTGTGTACGTCGTGTGAAACCATCAACGTCGAATCGTAACGGCAAGAAAGCAATTAGTCTCGATATACATCTCTCTTCCTTCTCCTTTATGTAGAAAAAAATCACATTGGCTTGTTCTCTCTGACCCTAAAGAAGATTCTAACTCAAGTACAAAAGCTTAAACGTAATGTGGTCGCGTAGTTCTTTTCGACGCGGTAACGTGTTTCGTGACGCGCAGCACAACGTTCGCGTCCGTATGCGAATGCATGTGTTTGTGTGAATGTATGTATGAATGTATGTATATATGTGTGTGTATGTGCCAGAAAATTTATTAAATATTAATGAAGTCAAAGGATGATTAGGGGTGATTGGCGATGAGCTCACAAAAGATCTATCATCCCTCCATCGGACAGAAGACGGTACCGGCCGACGCGCTGGTCCAAGTCCACTAAGGGTGAACAGACACAGAGACACAATCGGTCAGTCACAATGGTCACAATGGCTTATTTTAACGGTTTTACATGTAAAGAACGACGGTGGAGGGCAAACAGTGCTTCTTCCGCTCGGGTCGGAAAGCGAGACACGTTGATATCGTATTGTTTAGAAACTCGAGCTTTGTCTCTCAAGCACGCGCGAGAGTATGCCGAAAACTGAACGGTGCGATGTTTCTATGAGTTACGTGCGAATCGGCGAAAAAAAAAATTACGTCTGTCAAATTGACTCGTCACTCCTACCCTCACCTTCACTTTGAGAAACATTATCTTGTCGTGCGAGAATCGGGTGCAACATGATACTGATAATACATGACACAATTGATGATAACGACCTACAACAATATATGTACATTACGACGGCATGCAGTAAATTAATGCAGAACAATAATGATGCATTAAACCGAGAACAGTGCAGTGTTGAATCACAAAACATTTCCTGTTTCATAGAATAATATCGTTCGTGGTCGTGTTCTAATAACTAATGCAATATGTAAACACTGTAAGAAATAAGTGAGCACGTAAAAAGCACTTGAAAAAAGACTACCTCCTTTTTTTTCCAAAACGTACCGATAACGAAAAGGATCACTTGGGGACCAATACAGCACGGTGCGATCTCTTATCAAATTAAATCTCTCGGTCGAAATGTCAACGAACGGATGTTAAGTATAGCAATCTTCAGAAA